TTCTTACAGGAAACACTGCCTGCAGTGACTGTTGGTCACAACTTGAACAGTCGTAGCTTTCCAGTTGTGACAAAAAGCTCTTTTTTTCCCAATCTTTTCCTGAATGTGCTTGGTGAACAAGACTTAGAAAAAAGCAATTTTGATGAAATAGGCACGTTTGGTTAATTTTCCCAATAGATTCTAATAGAAAGTTGAAGATCCAACAACTTTTTCTGTTTTTAGGGTGTTTTTAAATCACAAATGATGTAATTTCAGCATGCTGGCAGGGATTCAGAGTAAAAAGTGAGTAAAAACGAAGGAGTGTTCAGAGAAAAAGCATAAAAAAATCCATCAGAGGAGCTGACGTCATTGAGTTGTGGTTTTTCAGTGGAGGGTCTCTGGTTCAGGTTTCAGATAGATTAGCAGCAGGATGTCTCGGATGAAACCTGACCGCGCGTCATCTTCACTGCTGAATAATTAAGAGATATTGTTCTTAATGAAAAGACGAGTCGATGCTCGTCCTCGTCGAGTGCCGCTTTCAGAAGGTCGCCACAGATTGGAGTGTTTCGTTTGGAGCTCCTCGTTTAAAGCTTCATCCGAGCTGTAAACGGTCGGTGTGAGTTTGTTCTCATTCAGCGTGAAGCACGTCTATTACGAGGTTAGCAGGAAGCTGAAAAACTGAACATCACCTGTCTCTTCTCTCTCTTTTCCATCTCTGTAAAATGTGAACCAAAAAGCAGAGCAGCTCCATTAGATCCAGCATCTGCTTCTATCGATCCACGTGGCAATTTTCTGAATTATTTAGGTGGGAAATGGAGCTCAGATGGTGGAGTGAGATGTTCTGGTGACATCTGAGAGCAACTGTGATAAATCAGAGGGCTCGGAGATGATCAATAATCAATATTAACTGCTGTTTGGACACAGATGCATCATCGCTCCTTGTTCCTTTTAATCATCTTTTTGTCTTGTTTCACTGGAAAGCTGCAATACATTTTCACAGTTCTAAGAAAAAAAAGGCTGAATCACATCCCGGTGCGGTTAACGGTTTTTAATATATCCATAACAGGAAGTGACACAATGCGGCAGCTGACACCTCTCGGCAGCGTGGCTTTGGACTTATATGGTTAGAAGTGTTAAAGTGCAGTAGATCTTGAGCAGAGGAAGCAGAAGCGCTGCCTTCTCATCAGGGGCGAGTTATGTCACGAGATCCTCTGACGGCTTCGGTCTTGTCAGAACTTGACGTGTTGCCGTTTGAGAGGCTGGTTTAACTTTTACAGCCGAGCTCCGTCTGCGTTGTCGGTTTACAGGCTGATCTCTGTGCAGACGGTGTTTTCTCAGCTTTGTTGTATCTGAACCGTGGAAACAGCTGAACGTCTGTGTCAAACTTCAGCTAAAACCACATTAATTCCTCCAAACCAGCAGGGAGCAGGTCTTCTTCCAAACTGGTGCAAAGAAACGTTCAAAATGCACCTTTACAACTTTATCTCACTTCGTCTGTTGTGCACAAAAGACAAATGTTTATCTGTGAATTCTGGTTTCATACAAAAATGCGTGACTTTTTCCCTCCTGCTCTGGTCCATAAATCTCTACTTGTAGTTTTATTTCTGTCTGTATTCTGAAGGTTTTTGCAGAGGTCTGTCTGTACATCATTCACAGCCTGATTTATGCAACATTTTATTCCTAAAACATGGAGAAAATTGATTTTTCTTCTGTCTGCTGGCAGTATTCTCTGATTTATGAAGTGATAAAAAAGAGATCCAGAATCCTCTCTGCTTAAAAAAAAAAAGCTGATTTATCCAACATTCACACTTCTCTTCTGGAAATTAATGCAGATTAGTGCTTTTTTTTTTAAACCTCATTTGCATATTGCATCATCAAATTTGAAGGAACTTGATGTCAGTGATGAGCTGAGGAGGTTTTATGCTGCAGTGTTTTACCGTAAAGTGCATTTTTAGACCACATTATACAGCTGTGCTTCCTCAAATCTGATCATTGTGTCTATTTTTGCAGTTTCTGGCTTTTAAATGATGTAATTGCAGTGATTTCCTTGAACCTGCTGGGAGTTCAGATGGCTAATAAAAAGTCCCGTGCACACATCCTGCAAACATCAGCGCTTTAATCCGTCCACCGTCTTAATCATCTGTGTTATGGTTGTTCTTGGGAGTTCTCTGCTGTTTCAGAGCAGGTTCGTTTGATAAATGCGTGAGTCCAGGCAGTTTGCACAGATGTGTGTGTTGTGAGAGCAGCGTTTGTAAGAACAACTATGCTTTTGAGTAAAAGGTCACGCTGGGGGTCTTCAGAGACTCCGTGAGGAATCCTGACAGACGCCGAAGCAGCATCAACATTTGTTTAAGCGCCGCCGTGTGCGAAGTAAATATTTGAGCTCGGCCTCTTTTCCGCGCAGCTCGCAGCGAAGTGTTGTGACGGTTTTGCGTCGTCGCTGCAGCGGAGCAGTTTGTGTTTTATGTGACTGTAAACAGCCGCGCGTTACAGACTGTAAATTGTCTGTGGCAGCTGCAGAGCCACCGAGTCTGCAGCTCAGAAACATGGCCTCAGGACATTTCACACTCTCCTCACTCCTACAAAGAATATTTGCCAAAGCTTTTTTTCTGTCGTTGTTGTTGCTTAAAGAGCAACGCTGGATTTGCAGGATGCCTTTGGGTTATTTTTTTCTTTACTGCTGTTTCACTAAAAACCAGAAATAGTCCAAACTACATTTTACGACACGCTGCAAACCACAATAAACCTCCATTTTAATTAGTTTCAGAGACTGCGGGGATCAAGTGTGCCATAGGTACCCGTCTGCAGAGCGTCCTGATCCAGAAGCTAATATAAAAGATGTTTGTACTGACAGTGTTAAACCATCTGCACAGAATGAATTCATCAAACTGTACATTTAGGATGTTACTGCCAGCTTGCTTTGCTCTGATTTGATCATTTACATTTAAAAGACACAGAGTTTGTTGAGCAGAAACGGGAGAGAAACAGTTTTGTAGCTGCACAGTTAATGGAATACAAACCTGATTTTAACTTCTCACAGTTAAACGATCGACTGTGATGTTGATCTTTAAACAGCTTCCTCATAGAAAACAGTCCAGGTAGATAAACTCACCTGGTTTCAGGTCAACCTGACGTCAGAACTCCTCATTTGACTCCCTTTAAACTAATGTTTGGTCGCTCATCTGCAGGAACTGATGGAGACTCGAGGCTTCTCTGTCTGTGAGGCGTTCAGGGAACATCTGGAAGCCACAGTGTCTGCTGAATAATCCATTCTGTCCAAATAACTGTTCAAGTAATCTGCGGAAAACTCAGAAAACTAGTCATTGTTTTCCAGTATCGTGCAGCCTGAGTTAGAAAAACTGAACAGACTGAAAGGAGACGTTTTTAAGTTGTTCCTGCAGCTGTCTCACCAGCATCCACCACTTGGTATATTTTTACAGTTTCTCTTTGCTTCTTTTCATTTTGCAGCGAAACACAACAATCAAGCAAATTCCTGCTACTGAGATCCTTTCAGGGTCGTAATTTTGTTATTTCTAAGCATTACAGAAAGTTCAGCTGCGTTAACCTGCAGAAACACGTTTATTTACGATGTCTCTGCGCTCGTCCTTCATCAGGTAAAACGGTTTATGAAGATTAAACAACTGCAGCTCTGCAAACAATCACAGCCCCCCACAAGCTGCACAGCGGCCTGAATCCCACAGTGTGCTCCACATGCAAACAATCACAGCAAAACTGCTCACATTAAATCAGTGGAATACTATAATCTGAGTGATTAAAACCTCCAAAGACTGAAGCAGTTTCCCAAATAATGTCTAAATCCTGCAGATTACACGTGCAGATGAACGTTCCCATCCGTCTGCTGAACACCTGTCTCGTTAATAAAGGTGTGCGAGTTCTTTTGTCTTGTTTTAGGCGTCACAAACTCAGTGTGTTTGCAGTTTGCAGCTGTGTCCGGACAGATGGTGTGCCGGTGTGTCACCACCACTTCCTGCTGAGGAATGTCCTGCAGTCAGCTGGATAATGTCGGTTTTATCATGTGAGAGCAGGAATCCTGAATGTGTCTGAACCGAACTTGTTTCCCGCCTCTTCCTCATAAAACACCTCATATAAGCAGGTAAACGATGCTGAACTGACTGCTCGTTATCTTGTTCTTTCCCCTCAGACAAACACAGAAGATGGAGGATTCCAGCAGCAGCAAACCCTTCATGGTGACGTCGTCCCTGAACTTCAAAGTCACCACGCCGTCCTTCTACAACCAGCCAAAGAAGTTTGCGTCCGTGGCGCCGCCGCGGCCCAAAAGTCAGACTCCTCCGTCTCCGTCGCCGACACCGATAGGCGCCGGGGTTATCGGCCGAGTGGGAGACCTGCCGCCGCCGCCGCCTTCGCTCTGCGACGGTATTCACTTTTATGTTTACATTATGATCAGTTAATCCTCTCAGAGCGGCTCTTCCTGTCCGACCTCCTGCTGCTGCTTCTTATTCCTCAGCATGCAGAGCTTCACTGCACGACGGCAGCAATCAGTTCTCGGTCTAATTCCTGCCTTTCAGAGGTCGTAGTTAGATGTTAAGTCAGTCTCAGGTTTTTACTTGTAGACTTTGAGAGTTGTGCACAATTCTAGCAGGAGTATGTCTAATTAAATGTAGCCTGTGGAGCTTTAAACGCATGAAGAAGCACCAGAGTTTTCACTTCACTTCAGCTGATTTAACAGGATTCAGATCGATGCTGCAAACAAGTTTAGAAGTTCACCTGGAAAGTCTGTGAAGGAGACAAATAATGAGTCAACGTGGATGTTAATGTGCTTTTGAGGACAGAAACGCGTTGATCTCAACATGCATTGCATGCAACAATGCATTTGGTTTTTGGTTAGAAACACTGAATGCTGGTCAGTAACAGAACCTAACACGGTTCCTTTGTGCAGGAGAAAGTTTACCCATATTCCCATTAAATATGTTCCACCAGTGGAAGAGCTAAGTACATCTCTAATAGACAGTGTTATTAACCCTCTGGACTCCAAAACCCACCAACAGGTTTAAGAAAATCCCCCAAAATTATGTAATTTTTAATCCACAGATTGTAAAAACAAAGCGACACATCAGCTTTTGAGTGAAAAATGACCAAATCCAGTCTTAAAATTGGGATATTTCATCAAATTCGCTTTACTCTGTTTGTCTCATTTAATAATTCTTCAAAAACACTGTGAAAAACAACAAATTATGAGCTCCTCGATGCAACCATGAGGTCACGACGGACTCAGCTGTGACTGATAGTAACGCGATTAAAGTTTTTAGGTGAACTGCAGGCCGTGTTTCCAAAGACATACGTCGCTGAACATCTGGAGCCTCCGTGTTTTCCAGTGCTGGTAACACCTGTGGACACTTGGAAATATGTTGGACATGATGAGTCCAGATCTTCTACATTTTTGTAAAATAAATAATCAAAGAAATGTCCCAGAAACTGCCCAGAGTTTAGACGGTGAAAGTATGTCGAGGTTACAGGCCAGAGTTGTTTTTTTACAGCTGCACACATGTAAACTCATAATCTGAAAAATAACTCCAGATGTCTGATGATGTAGAGGAATAAAGACTTCAATATTGACCTCAGGAAGGTCATCAGAGAGAAGAATGAAGTAGCTGAAAGTACAAATGCTGCAACATTTCCCCTGAATAAAATACAGTAATTTTCACTGCAATGTAAAGTCCTGCACCTCTGTGGAGAGATGAGTCCACAGTTCGTTAAAAAACAAAAACAAAAGAAGCTATATTTCTGTAGCACCTTTCAAAGCAGGGGTTACAAGGTGCTTCACAAAGCATTACAATACACAAAACATTAGATAAAGCAGTAAAAGCAATAAAACATCAGTAAAAATG